GAGTGGATGAGGGATTAGAGGACATCCAACCCCAAATTGGGAAACAAGTCGTCCAGGAATACCTGGCCGCTCTAAATGAGTTCAAGTCCCCTTTCAGGGCCAGATCAACTACACCCAAGAGTATTGAAGGAACTAGCGGAAGTCATTTCGGAACCATTGGCAACCATCTTTGAGAGTTCTTGGAGAACGGGAGAAGTTCCAGCAGACTGGAGGAGGGCCAATGTGGTCCCAATCTTCAAGAAGGGAGAAAAAGGATGACCCAAACAATGACCAATGTCCGGTCAGCTTCTTGGCAGAATGGGGCTGGACTGGATGGCCCATGAGGTCTCTTCCAACTCTTTGATTCTACTGGAAGTTGCTATGAATTTCCTTGTCGAGAGAAAAAGCAGGGTATAAACAAACATAATGTTTCAGCCATTTGTTCCATTGTATATAATACTAGCCGTCCCCTGCCACACGTTGCTGTGGCCCAGTCTGTGTGTATGTGTTTTATGTGTATATTTTTGTGTATATGTGTATATCTCTCTTGAATTGTGGTGACCAGAATTGGAATATTGTGTCCAATTCTGGGCACCACAATTCAAGAGAGATATTGACAAGCTGGAATGTGTCCAGAGGAGGGCGACTAAAATAATCAAGGGTCTGGAGAACAAGCCCTATGAGGAGCGGCTTAAGGAGCTGGGCATGTTTAGCCTGAAGAAGAGAAGGCTGAGAGGAGATATGATAGCCATGTATAAATATGTGAGAGGAAGCCACAGGGAGGAGGGAGCAAGCTTGTTTTCTGCTTCCTTGGAGACTAGGATGTGGAACAATGGCTTCAAACTACAAGAGAGGAGATTCCATCTGAACATGAGGAAGAACTTCCTGACTGTGAGAGCCGTTCAGCAGTGGAACTCTCTGCCCGGAGTGTGGTGGAGGCTCCTTCTTTGGAAGCTTTTAAACATTGTCATTTGGGAGTTAGTTGCTGGGATTTATAGTTCACCTACAATCAAAGAGCATTCTGAACCCCACCAACGATGAATTGAACCAAACTTGGCACACAGTTCTCCCATGACCAACAGAAAATACTGGAAGGGTTTGGTGGGCAGTGTCCTTTGGTTTTGGAGTTGTAGTTCACCTGTCTCCATGATAGATCTGGACCAAACTTGGCACGAATATTCCATATGCCCAAATGTGAACACTGGTGGAGTATGGAGGAAATAGAATCCAGAGATCGCTGTGAACTCATGCAATTATAGATCTGGACCAAACTTGGCACGAATATTCCATATGCCCAAATGTGAACACTGGTGGAGTATGGGGAAAATAGAATCCAGAGATCGCTGTGAACTCATACAATGATGGATCTGGACCAAATTGGCACGAATATTCCATATGCCCAAATGTGAACACTGGTAGAGTATGGGGAAAATAGAATCCAGAGATCACTGTGAACTCATACAATGATGGATCTGGGCCAAATTGGCACGAATATTCCATATGCCCAAATGTGAACACTGGTGGAGTATGGGGAAATAGAATCCAGAGATCGCTGTGAACTTATTCAATGATGGATCTGGACCAAACTTGCCACTGATAATATGGCCAAATATGCCAAACCTTTTCAGAGCGGCGCTGCGAGGGCTTGTTCTCCCAGCGCAGTGAGAGGCGCCTCGCGGCTGCGGAGAGCAGAGAGTGCCCGCGGTTGGCAGAGCGGCGTTGGGTGGCCCACCCAGCGCCGCTCCGCCAATCTCGGACACCCTCTGCTCTGGCTGCTCTGCTCTCCAGAAGGCCCCACCTGGGAAGATTCTCCCTCCCACACGGGCAGAGCGGCCGGAGCAGAGGGTGTCCGTGATTGGCGGAGCGGTGGCGGTTGGGCGTGGCCAGAGAACGCCGGCTTCCCTGACCCGTAGGCCCCACACGGGAGGGAGAAGCCTGGCCCGGCACGACCCTGCTCGAAGCAGCTCCGGAGGGAAGATAGGGAGAAACGCTGCTGATGTTAGCGGCGAAGGGCTTTGCGCAAGGCCAGAGAAATTCCCTCGGCGGGCCGCATATGGCCCGCGGGCCGTAGTTTGAGGACCCCTGCTTTAACTAGTTCACGTGGTGGTTTTTCCTCCGCCCCCCCTCCAAAATTAGTCTGCTGTTATTGTTGTTTTTGTTATGTTGTTTTATTTGTTATTGCTTTATTTTAATTGTATTCTGTCTTTATTTTAATTGTATTTGGGGGATTAACAGAACTCAAAAACCACAGGACGAATTGACACCAATTTTGGACACAAGACACCTAACAACCCAATGCATGTCCTTCACTCAAAAAATTGATTTTGTCATTTGGGAGTTGCAGTTGCTGGGATTTAAAGTTCACCTACAATCAAAGACCATTCTGAACCCCACCAACGATGGAATTGAACCAAACTTGGCACACAGTTCTCCCATGACCAACAGAAAATACTGGAAGGGTTTGGTGGGCAGTGTCCTTTCGTTTTGCAGGGGTCCTCAAACTGCGGCCTGCGGAGAGAATTTCTCTGGCCCGCCTGGCCTGGCGCAAAGCCCCTCGCCGCTAGCATCAGCGGAGTTGGGCCCCATGTAAGCTGCCCCAAGTCCTTTCGGGGGGATGGAGTCGGGGTAGAAAATAAAGTTCTTCTTCTTCTCAGGCCCCCCCCCCCAACCAAGTGACAGGTTCACCGCAAGGCCAGAAACAATTCCAAATAACATGACAACAGTGCATATAAAGTCTGCATCTCGTCCCCAAAGCCGAGGTGACAAAAGGAGTGACAGATGAAAGGTAGCATTATTTTTTTTATTGAAGGTCATTGGTGCTGCTTCCATTATTTATGATTCATTGTTGTTGCTGTTAATTCCACCCCTGATACTGAGATGGGCGCAGCTTTCTCCACAATATTTCATTTATACACAGTTATTACAGACAAGCACAAAGCCACTACGGCAGTTAAAGGGGAGGGGGGGTCGGGGGAGGGGAGGGGCCAGAACACAGCTGCCATTCCACATGGTTTTTTCCAAAAACACACATACGGGGGAGGAACCGATAAAAAAAAATTTACACACTGGGAATGATAAAGACTAATCCTGGAATTAATAGGGGGCCTTGTGTGAGCCCCCCGAGCCTCAAATGCCCTCCCTGCCCAAGCCCTCGGCCAGGAGCGGATCCCTGCTCAAGAGTGGAATGGAGGAAGCGGAGATGGTCCCAATGGGGAAAAAGAGGAATGGAAGCCCCCCCCAAGGAATGTGGCTGGGAATGAAGGCTGGGAAAAAGGAAGGAGAGAAGGAGCTGGAGCTGGTTTGGCAAGTTTCAACAGCAGCGGCAAAGGTTGGGGGCGGCTGCTTCTATATTTTTCATTATTATCATTATTATAAACAGGAGGGAGCACCAGAGGGAAATTGGGGGGGGGGGGGGGGGGAGAAAAGTAGAAAACTGGAACGTAACTATAAAGGAAACCCCAACCCACAAAACCCCAAATGGTAGCACAGGGTCATTAGACATGGAAGCTCCGGAGACGCTGGCACGACAGTGGGGAAGGGGAGGCTCACAAGGGCTTGCCCTCCAAGGTGATGACGGAAGTGCCGCCCAACTTCTCTGCCAGGGCGCAGCGGTCCTTCACTTCCTCCATACAGTTCGCTTGCCACTCGTGCTTGACTCCTGCAAAGGGAAGGCACAGGAAATGAATGGCTGGGATGGTCTCCGCCTACAATGACATCTTTTTGAGTCCCAGTTCCCTTGATTCTTATCCAGATGCTTTCAAGCTGGTTTCCTGGATTGCTCTCTTGCATCTCTTCTGCAGCATAACAGTTTTTGACATATAAGGCTACTCCGTCTCCTCTCCCCTTTCATTTGGACACAACACACATATCAGGCCAACGAGTGACCATCACTCATAAAAACACTGAAAAACACAAAAAGCACATACACGCAAACACACATATATACACAAAAATATACACATAAAACATACACATAGACTGGGCGACAGCAACGCGTGGCAGGGGACGGCTAGTATTATATACAATGGAACAAATGGCTGAAATATTATGTTTGTTTATACCCTGCTTTTTCTCTCGACAAGGAAATTCATAGCAACTTCCAGTAGAATCATAGAATCATAGAGTTGGAAGAGACCTCATGGGCCATCCAGTCCAACCCCATTCTGCCAAGAAGCAGGAATATTGCATTCAAAGCACCCCTGACAGATGGCCATCCAGCCTCTGTTTAAAAGCCTCCAAAGAAGGAGCCTCCACCACACTGCGGGGCAAAGAGTTCCACTGCTGAACGGCTCTCACAGTCAGGAAGTTCCTGTCCTGGGGCACTGCGAACAGGACCCGTGACACTATCCATAGCAGGGGAGGAAAAAAGCAAGCAAGCCATCCCTTTAAACCAGGGGTCCTCAAACTTTTTAAACAGAGGGCCAGGTCACAGTCTCTTAAACCGTTAGGGGGCCAGATTATAATTTGGAAAAAAAAATGAATGAATTCCAATGCACACTGCACATATCATTTGTAGTGCAAAAAACCACACAAAAACAATACAATAATTAAAATGAAGAGCAATTTTAACAAATATAAATTTATTAGTATTTCAATGGGAAGTGTGGGCCTGCTTTCGGAAAAAATTGTTTCTAAATTCGTTTCCAGGGGGCGCTAGCGTATCCAAATTCTAAATACTTCCAAAATTTTGAGATTTCAAAATTTCGTTATTTATGAAATTTTGTTAATTTCGAATTGATTCGTTAATGGCGGACGCGATTGCGCAATATGCTAAAAAAACCTCCAAATGGGACAGGGGGACCTTCTGAAGCTTCCCTCTCCCTCTATTGTTGACTGTTGGTGTGATAATTTATTTTTTATCACTGATAAAACAAACAACTATAAAACTTGCACCAGACATACGGAAATAATTACGAAACAATTACGAAACAATTTTGAACCAATTACGAAACAATTACGAAACAATACGAAATAAATTGGAAAAATTGTTTCGATTTTTAATTACTCCTCACACAATCCTGCATGGCTCAATATCGGATCGTAAGCTAATTGAAATACGAATTAATAACGAATTACGAAATTAACGAACGAAACCGCCCAGCCTATTATTATATGTGTATATATATATATATATATATTATAGTAACATTATATTATATAGTAGTATATATAACAATAATATATATAATATATATTATATAGCAATATATATAATAGTAATATACATATTATAATTCTATATATACATCACACCAACCAGTGATCCAACATCCATACATGTGTGTGTGCGTGTCTTCTTCCTTTTTTGAATTTAAAGGTGTTTTGTGTGTGTGTGGGGGGGGGGGGGTTTCAGTGATGGTCACTCCTTGGATTGTGAGTTTTGTTGCCAAATTTGGGGTCATTTGACCCTGTAGTTTTTTTGTTTTTCAGGTACTCATTATGCACAGAGCATTTATATATATATAGACTTAGATAGTAGACTGTGACCCCTTAATAGAAATATATTATCAGATAAATGATTATAGAACATTAATAGAAAGTATTGCACTGTATGCAACAAACACTTGCAAATGTATGTTTACTTAAATAAAATAAAATAGTTGTCGAAGGCTTTCATGGCCGGAATCCATGGGTTGTTGTAGGTTTTTCCGGGCTATATGGCCATGTTCTGGAGGCAATTTTTCTCCTGACGTTTCGCCTGCATCTATGGCAAGCATCCTCAGAGGTAATGAGGACCTCATTACCTCTGAGGATGCTTGCCATAGATGCAGGCGAAACGTCAGGAGAAAAATTGCCTCCAGAACATGGCCATATAGCCCGGAAAAACCTACAACAACCCAATAAAATAGTTAAACGGAAGCTAGCTTTGGACTGCATTAAATGGAAGCGAGACTCAAGATGGAAGAAGTGGCACCCAACCTCCCCATGGACAGCAAGCCAGGGCCCATGCTGGCTCTCACCTGGTAATGTCTTCTTCATGCCATCCTTACTACTGGCGTAGATCATTTTGCTCTTCAGGGGTGCGCATTCAGGCGCCCTGCGGAAAGACGAAACAGACAGTTCAGCACCAAGGGTTAGAGACGAGCTCCGCCAGCGAAATGCATGCTTTTACTGGTTCAAAGTGTTAGATGCCCTCCATCTCCTTTATTAAGTTGGAACTCTTCTCTGCATTAAAGGCCCTCCACAATTGTACTTCACAACAGATATCTACGCAGTCTTTCAAATAGGGATTCTAATGGGAATCTGTGCCGGTTTGGGACTCATTTCCTTGCATAGAAGCACATCTTGATGCCTTGCTCTTGGGTCATCTGCAGTTCTCATTCATCACTGGCAGTTCTATTCCTGTACTCTTGTGTCATCATGTGCAAAGGCAAGTATTGGGCAATTGCTTTCCATTCCCGTCAGAATTCGCAATGTGGAGGAGAGGGGAAACATTCCAGCACCTTACATACTTTTACCTTAAACAAGAACCCCTGCCAGAACAATACAATATGCTTGGTGCAATGAGAAAGCTGGGTTAGTACTATATTAGGATGGCGCGGTGGGTTAAACCCCTGTGCCGGCAGGACTGAAGACCCACAGGTCGAAGGTTCGAATCCGGGGAGAGGCGGATGAGCTCCCTCTATCAGCTCCAGCTCCTCATGCGGGGACATGAGAGAAGCCTCCCACAAGGATAATAAAAACATCAAATCATCCAGGCATCCCCTGGGCAACGTCCTTGCAGACGGCCAATTCTCTCACACCAGAAGCAACTTGCAGTTTCTAAAGTCACTCCTGACATGACCAAAAAAAAATTCGTTCTATATAACTAGCCATCCCCTGCCATGTGTTGCTGTGGCCCAGTCTGGTGATCTCGAAAATAAAATAATGAGAAAGTGTTGGTTTCTAATATATGTAATGTCTTGATCCTTGTGGGTAAACACTCAACAAAAGATCCCCCCAGGCTCAGCCAGGCTTTCAAAGGCTAATGAAGGTGGTCAGTTGAAACATTCACACCTAGCTCCAGCAGAGAAGAGTTCTTTATTTATTGTATTGTCAAAGACTTTCATGGCTGGAATCACTAGGTTCTTGTGGGTTTTTTCGGGCTATAGGGCCATGTTCTAGAGGCATTTCTCCTGACGTTTCGCCTGCATCTATGGCAAGCATCCTCAGAGGTAGTGAGGTCTGTTGGAAATAGGAAAATGGGTTTATATATCTGTGGAATGACTGAGGTGGGGCAAAGAGCTCTCTGCTGAAGCTAGGTGTGAATGTTTCAGCTGACCACCTTCATTAGCATTTGAAGGCCTGGCTGAGCCTGGGAAAATGTTCTGTTGAGAGGTGTTAAGATGTGCCTGGTGTTTCCTCTCTGCTGTTTTATTTATTTATTTGCTTCACTTGTATACCGCTCTTCTCAGCCAACGGCAACTCAGAGTGGTTAACAACCAGTATCAACAATACAGTACAAAATCATTAGTCATTTAAAACAGTAATATCAATTAATTAACATCAGGACATCAATACAATACAGGAAAACAACAATCCATCTTTGCCCCACCACAGTCATTCCACAGATATATAAACCCGTTTTCCTAATTCCAACAGACCTCACTACCTCTGAGGATGCTTGCCATAGATGCAGGCGAAACGTCAGGAGAAATGCCTCTAGAACATGGCCATATAGCCCGAAAAAAACCACAAAAACATAGTATTTCTTGTTGTTTCTTTGTCAGTAGAGATTGTCTGGTTTGCCTACTCTGGAACATGCAACATATTATTGTCCTTCTTTAGGGGTCCCTTTCAAATATATCATACTATATCTCTGTGTGTGTGTGAATCTATCTATATCTATGGCTGGATGGCTCTTTGTCAGGAGGGCTTTCTTTGTGTTTTCTTGCCCTGGTGAAGAGAATTGGATTGGATGGCCTTAAGTATTTTCTGTTGGTCATGGGTGTTCTGGGTAGGAAGTTTAAGCCCAATTCCATCATTGGTGGAGTTCAGAATGCTCTGTGATTGTAGGTTAACTATAAATCCCAGCAACTACAACTCCCAAATGTCAAGGTCTATTTCCCCCAAACTCCATCTGTGTTCATATTTGGGCATATGGAATATTCGTGCCAAATTTGGTCCAGATCCATCATTGTTTGAGTCCACAGTGCTCTCTGGATGTAGGTGAACTACAACTCCAAACTCAAGGTCAATGCCCACCAAACCCTTCCAGTATTTTCTGTTGGTTATGGGGCTATATGGCCATGTTCTAGAGGCATTTCCTGACGTTTCCTGCATCTATGGCAAGCATCCTCAGAGGTAGTGAGGTCACCTCTGAGGATGCTTGCCATAGATGCAGGCGAAACGTCAGGAGAAAATGCCTCTAGAACATGGCCCTATAGCCCGAAAAAACCCACAAGAACCTAGTGATTCCAGCCATGAAAGCCTTCGACAATACACCTTCCAGTATTTTCTGTTGGTCATTGGAAAACTGTGTGCCAATTTGGTTCAATTCCATCATTGGTGGGGTTCAGAATGCTCTTTGATTGTAGGTGAACTATAAATCCCAGCAACTACAATTCCCAAATGTCAAGGTCTCTTTCCCCCAAACTCCATCTGTGTTCATATTTGGGCATATGGAATATCGTGCCAAATTTGGTCCAGATCCATCATTGTTTGTGTCCACAGTGATCTCTGGATGTAGGTGAACTACACCTCCCAGACTCAAGGTCAATGCCAAGCAAACCCTTCTGGTATTTTCTGTTGGTCAGGTGAGTCCTTTGAGCTAAATTTGGCCCAATTTCATCATTGGCGGAGTTTAGAATGCTCTTTGATTGTATGTGAACTATAAATCCCAGCAACTATAACTCCCAAATGACAAAATCAACTTTTTGGAGTGAAGGACATACATTGGGTTGCTAGGTGTCTTGTGTCCAAATTTGGTGTCAATTCGCCCAGTGGTTTTTGAGTTCTGTGAATATCACAAACGAACATTACATGTTTATTTATATAGATTCCTATGAAGCAAGCGTGCACCTTAAGGAACCCAAGCTCAATAAGAAAGGGAATAAAAACCCTGAGTCTTCTCCATGATTCAAGCCTAGTTTGTTGTCGAAGGCTTTCATAGCCAGAATCACTGGGTTGCTGTGACTTTTCCAGGCTGTCTGGCCACGTTCCAGAAGCATTCCCTCCTGACGTTTCGCCCACATCTATGGCAGGCATCCTGATAGGATGTGAGGTCTGTTGGAAACTAGGCAAGTGGAGTTATATATTTGTGGAAGGTTCAGGGTGGAAGAAAGAACTCTTATATGTTGGGAACAAGTGTGAATGTTGCAATTGGCCAGCTTGAGTAGCATTGAATGGCCTTGGAGCTTCAAAGCCGGGCTGCTTACTGCCTGGGGGAATTTTATTTATTTATTTGCAGCATTTATATTCTGCCCTTCTCACCCCGCAGGGGACTCAGGGCGGATTACAGTGTACACATATATGGCAAACATTCAATGCCAATTTGACATACAACATATACAGACATACACAGAGGCTATTTAACTTTTCTGAAGTACTTCCGCATTCCCTGCATGCTTTTTTGCTGGAGTCTTTTTTATGGCCTCATAAATCAGTTAATGTATCCTCCCCACACTTTAAGGTGGTACCTAATTTTCCTACTTCACAGATGCAACTGTCTTTCGGGTTGCAAAGGTTGACAACAGGCTACACAATTGGTTGGAAACTCACTCCAACCTGGGCTGGCTTCGAACTCATGACCTTTTGGTCAGAGTGATCTTAATGCAGCTGACACTCAGCCTGCTGCACAACAATCCCGGTGCTTTGTTGGAAGCAACACTCAAAAATGGGAATTCCAGGCAGGAATCAATCAGGGCCAGCTAACACCTCCCAACAAAGGACTCTCTCACGCAGGAAGCAGTCACACTTTTTTTTGTCTAGACATTCCAGAGAGATATAAATCTCTCTTGCCTAGTTTCCAATATACCTCACAATCTCTGAGGACGCTTGCCATAGATATGGCATAGTGTCTAGATCTAGGGAAGTAATGCCACCCCTGTATTCCGCCTTGGTTAGACCACACCTGGAGTATTGTGTCCAATTCTGGGCACCACAATTCAAGAGAGATATTGACAAGCTGGAATGTGTCCAGAGGAGGGCGACTCAAATGATAAAAGGTCTGGAGAACAAGCCCTATGAGGAGCGGCTTAAGGAGCTGGGCATGTTTAGCCTGAAGAAGAGAAGGCTGAGAGGAGATATGATAGCCATGTATAAATATGTGAGAGGAAGCCACAGGGAGGAGGGAGCAAGCTTGTCTTCTGCTTCCTTGGAGACTAGGACGAAGAACAACGGCTTCAAACTACAAGAGAGGAGATTCCATCTGAACATGAGGAAGAACTTCCTGACTGTGAGAGCCGTTCAGCAGTGGAACTCTCTGCCCTGGAGTGTGGTGGAGGCTCCTTCTTTGGAAGCTTTTAAACAGAGGCTGGATGGCCATCTGTCAGGGGTGATTTGAATGCAATATTCCTGCTTCTTGGCAGAATGGGGTTGGACTGGATGGCCCATGAGGTCTCTTCCAACTCTTTGATTCTATGACTATAACTTTTCCAGGCTGTCTGGCCACGTTCCAGAAGCATTCCCTCCTGACATTTCACCCACATCTATGGCAGGCATCTTCATAGGATGTGAGGTCTGTTGGAAACTAGGCAAGTGGAGTTATATATTTAAATTGTTTTAAAATTGTGATAGATTTTAGCCATTTCTGTAAGCCGCTCCAAGCCCCAGGGGAGTGGCGGCATATAAGTTTGAATAATAAATAAATATATATATTTGTGGAAGGTTCAGGATGGGAGAAAGAACTCTTATATGTTGGGAACAAGTGTGAATGTTGCAATTGGCCAGCTTGAGTAGCAACGAATGGCCTTGGAGCTTCAAAGCCTGGCTGCTTACCACCTGGGAGAATCCTTTGTTGGAAGCAACACTCAAAAATGGGAATTCCAGGCAGGAATCAATCAGGGCCAGCTAACACCTCCCAACAAAGGACTCTCTCACGCAGGAAGCAGTCACACTTTTTTTTGTCTAGACATTCCAGAGAGATATTATTTTGTCATGTCAGGAGTGACTTGAGAAACTGCAAGTCGCTTCTGGTGTGAGAGAATTGGCCGTCTGCAAGGACGTTGCCCAGGGGACACCCGGATGTTTTGATGTTTTTACCTTGTGGGAGGCTTCTCTCATGTCCCCGCATGAGGAGCTGGAGCTGATAGAGGGAGCTCATCCGCCTCTCCCTGGATTCGAACCTGTGACCTGTTGGTCTTCAGTCCTGCCGGCACAAGGGTTTAACCCACTGCGCCACCGGGGGCTCCTATTGCTAGTTTATACAGTATTACTGTTCTGGGGTTAGGCTTCTCCTTGTCCCCGCATGAGAGCTGGAGCTGATAGAGGGAGCTCATCCGCCTCTCCCCGGATTCGATCCTGCGACCTGTCGGTCTTCAGTCCTGCCGGCACAGGGGTTTACCCACTGTGCCACCGGGGGCTCCAGAAAGATATAAATCTCTCTTGCCTAGTTTCCAATATACCTCACAATCTCTGAGGATGCTTGCCATAGATATGGATGAAATGTCAGGAGAGAATGCTTCTGGAACATGGCCAAGCAGCCCAGAAAACTCACAGCAACCTTCAAAGCCCAGTTGCTTGCTTCTAGACTAAAAGGCTGGGATGGATAATATGTGGTCACAAAACAATGTTGAGACATTATTATCTCTAACCACCAGCACTAGGGATTGCAGTTCAACACCCAGAGAACCACATTCAAAAATGCTTTCTCAAGCAGGAACAGCTTTTGTTCCCAAACCTCGCAAATCCAGGAAGAACAAAATTGCTCTAAGAAGCAGGAAAAGACTGGAGTGCTTCAGGTGGAGGTGGAGGAAATGGCCAGTTCAGACGTAAACAATACTTGCGCATCAAAGAAAGAGGTCACCAAGCAAGAGCTACAAATGGGCCAGAACCTTAATTCCATCTTCATTCATCAGCATTACTATAATTAGGTGCTACATGGAGATGGGTTTGGTGAAGATGAGAAGGCTGTAATTCTAGGATGGTTTTTGAGGGCTCTCACCAGAAGATGAAGACAAGGTCCTCCTTTTTGCTCTCCTTGGTCTCATAGGTGGCATCATAGAGGGCGTAGCGGCAGTCGTGTTCAGGCAACATTTTGATGAAATGCAAATAAGGGTCTTCGATGGTGTCGCCCACTTGCCCCACGAGGATTTCCTTCCCCTCCTCCAGGATGATCGTCTTCTTGTCTTCGCTGAGGCAGAAAATGACAGCCTTCTTGCGCTTCTTCACTTCCTCCGGGCTGGAAGCTTTGCGCACCTTCATCTCATTGAAAACCTTGATGACTGCATCAGAGACGGCGACACCAGATGCCTGATGGGAGGAAGAGAGAGAAGACAGACGTGAAGGAAAGGGGGTCAAACGCAGTCACAATGAGGGCATTCATGGTGCAGAGGAGGGAGAAAAGAATCTTTCACTCATAACAGCAGAGCGCAAAGCTAGCGAATGATGCCAAAATAGATGTTCAAGTCAATTAGAAAACTTAACATAGGTTCTATGTGGTTGTTTATGTGGACGTCATTGTATTATTTTATGTACTTTTATGTACTTACTAACTGTACCCGCCACGCGTTGCTGTGGCCAACCTTCCCGTGCTCTTTGTCTCCTTCTTTCTTTGGAGGAAGATGTAGTGCATGCACACACACGCATACACATATGGGTGTGGGTAATATGGTAATGTCTATGTTGAAAGGAAGTTGTGGAGAATGCCTACATGGATGTTAATTTTACTATATTTCCTCAACTCTCCCCTCAAATACACACAGTCACGCAGGAAATAAGTGGCTCTGCTGGAGTGCATGTCTTGAGGGGTTATTAAGGGGATGATCTTGCATGTGCATTAATTCCACTATATTTTCACAACTCCACACACCCATACGCACTCACTGTTGGTCTGCCAACATGTGTATGTTGCCAAGTTGTAAAAGATAGATAGAATGGTTTTCAATTCATATAGCAGTTCAAAAACATGTAAATGCGAGTAGAGCAATAGGTACCACTCTGGCAGGAAGGTAAGGGCGCTCCATGCAGTCATGCCAGTGGCCACATGACTTTGGAGGTGTCTATGGACAACGCCAGCTCTTCAGCTAAAAATGGAGATGAGCACCAGAGTCCCAGAGAGTTGGATATGACTAGATTTAATGTCAGGGGGAAACCTTTAGCTGTAACCTATACACACACACAGAGTGTGGATATGCTATTGTGTGTTTTGTTTCGTGAACAAATTGTGGGACTATAGATATCCTACGCTACCTTCCCAACTGTCCTCCCTCCCTGACAGGGGCAGACCCCCCTCATTGGTCGGGCTCTGCCCCCCCCCCCCAGCTCCCCCTGGCTCCCCCCTCCTTTGCTTGGCTTCACCATCCCCACCAAGTTGCAATGGAAATGGCTGTGATGGGCTCTGAGCCTGGGGTCCACTGCTACTGCTGTCTGTGCTTCTGCCTCCTCCTCCTCCTCTTCTTCTTCCTCTCTGTGGGTCCCCCTTCAGACTCTCTCCTGCCTCAGAAGCTTGGTGGGGGCTGGAAGCCTTGGAAGTGCCCACCTTTGCAAAGGCAACGGGAAGAGCCAAGAGGAGGGAAGAGAGGAGGTTGCCTCTCTCTCTCTCTCTCTCTCCCCAGGCTGTGCAAGGCACGCTCTCCCCTCTTTCCCATGCTTCCTTCTTTCTTTCCTCCCTTCTTCCTTTCTCCCTTTCCTCCGTCGCCACAGCAGGCAAGGAGGAAGGTGAAGAGGAAGGGGTCATGCTGCCGTGAGGGAGGAAGCTCCCTGTCGATTGCTGTGCCAGTTCTGTTTGTATGGTCGTGCGTGCGCACGCGCTTGGCTCTCAATGCTGTAACGGCCGCTCTTCCCTTGTGTGGATTTTTGGGGTTTCTACTGTTTCTTTGGGGGTTTTTTTGAGTGGAGGACATAAATTGGATTGTTAGGTGTAAGGTGTCCAAATTTGGTGTCAATTCTCCCAGTGGTTTTTGAGTTCTGTTAATCCCACAAATGAACATTACATTTGTATTTATATAGATAATACAGGAGACCCATATGTGTGCATTTCACAGGGACCACGCAGAGGAAGTATGGGTTGCTTACCTGTAACCATTTCCTCCAGTGGTCACCTGCGAAATCCACACATCATATGTACAAAACCCATATGTGTGCATTTCACATGCAGAAGAAAAATAAAATAATAATAATAATAATAATAATTATTATTATTATTATCATCATTATTAAAATGCAACGAGGGCTTCCAGATTAGACAAATTAGAGAGCCAGGCTCTACTCCTCATCACAGAGTTCTGAAACCCAGTTTAGATCATTTTTGGCATCATGTGACTGTCAAACTCAAATTAGAGGGACAATAATATGTACACCATCTTGAGTTCTTAAAGAATCATCAGGGTTTTAAGCAGAGCGACTAAGTAAGCAAAGTTATTAAGGCTAAAGGTTTTCTGCCTGAGGCACAGTCATCTCCATGTTTCAAAGGCAGCAATAGCTAAATGTTGCTCCAGGATATGAAAAAATGGGCCACTGTCTTGAAGTTGTGACTATGGACCTCTGGTTGGCCAATGAGGGAAACAAGGATACTGGGATGAAGAGCCCCCTTTGCTCTAACTCTTCAGTTATTCCTCACTCCGCCATAGAAACACACAGGTCGACTTCGGCAAGTTGCACGTTCAGGCCCAGAAAAAACCGAGAAAGAGTTGCCATTAAGTTGGAAATTACTTGAAAGCACAGAGTTCTGCAGATTAATGATCCACAATCAGATCTGCTTCCATTTTGGACTACAATATATACCATATATACTCAAGTATAAGCAGAGTTTTAGCCCTTTTTTGGCTTATACTGTAGTCAAGGTTATTTATTATTTTACTCTGTTATTATTATTTCATTACATTTATTATTTTACTCTATTTATTACTGTTACTAGCCGTCCCCTGTCACGCCCACATGGGGGTTCTGTGTGTTCATATTTGGGTGTATTGAGTGCTTGTGCCAAGTTTAGTACAGATCCATCATTGAGTCCACAGTGCTCTCCGGATGTAGGTGAACTACAACTCCCGAACTCAAGGTCAACGCCCACCAAACCCTTCCAGTATTTTCTGTTGGTCATGGGAGTTCTGTGTACCAAGTTTGGCTCAATTCCCTCATTGATGGAGTTCAGAATGCTCTGTGATTGTAGGTGAACTATAAATCCCAGCAACTACAACTCCCAAATGACAAAATCCCCAAACTCTACCAGTGTTCACATTTGTGCGTACTGAGTATTCTTGTAGAGTTTAGTCCAGATTCATCATTGTTTGAATCCACAATGATCTCTAAATGTAGGTGAACTACAACTCCAAAACCAAAGGACACTGCCCACCAAAGCCTTCCAGTATTTTCTGTTGGTCATGGGAGAAATGTGTGCCAAGTTTGGTTCAATTCCATCGTTGGTGGGGTTCAGAATGCTCTTTGATTGTAGGTGAACTATAAATCCCAGCAACTACAACTCCCAAATGACAAAATCATTTTTTTTGTGAAGGACATAGATTGGGTTGTTAGGTGTCTTGTGTCCAAATTTGGTGTCAATTCGTCCAGTGGTTTTTGAGTTCTGTGAATCCCACAAACGAACATTACATTTTTATTTATATAGATTACATTTATTATTTTACTCTATTATTATAACATGTATTATTTTACTCTATAATTATATATATATTATTATATTAATTACCCTATTTATTATTATTATTTTACTTTATTAGACTTAATATTTTACTCTATTATTACTGTTATTATTACATTATCTATTATTTTTCATTACATTATTTTTCTTTATTATTGGAAGGACGCATGAGCACATTCACATTGAAGAAGGTTAGAATAATGGTTTAATCAGAGCTGGGCAGACGCATCTTAAATTAGTTTTATGTAAATACTAGCCGTTCCTTGCCACGCGTTGCTGTGGCCCACATGGGGGTTCTGTGTGGGAGGTTTGGTCCAATTCTATCGTTGGTGGGTTTCAGAATGCTCTTTGATTGTAGGTGAACTATAAATCCCAGCAACAACTCCCAAATGTCAAGGTCTATTTTCCCCAAACTCCACCAGTGTTCACATCTGGGCATATTGAGTATTTGTGCCAAGTTTGGCCCAGCTCTATCATTGTTTGAGTTCACAGTGGTCTCTGGATGTAGGTGAACTACAACTCCAAAACCAAAGGACACTGCCCACCAAGCCCTTCCAGTGTTTTCTGTTGGTCATGGGAGTTCTGTGTGGAAAGTTTGGCCCAATTCCATCATTGGAGGGGGTTCAGAATGCTCTTTGATTGTAGGTGAACTATAAATCCCAGAAACTACAAGTCCGAAATGACAAAATCAATTTTTTTTGAGTGAAGGACATACGTTGGGTTGTTAGGTGTCTTGTGTCCAAATTTGGTGCCAATTGCCCCAGTGGTTTTTGAGTTCTGTGAATCCCACAAACGAACATTACATTTTTATTTATATAGATTGGGAGCCTCCGGTGGGGAAATGGGTCAAACCCTTGTGCCGACAGGACTGCTGATCGACAGGTCAGCAGTTCAAATCTGGGGAGAGTGCGGWWGAGCTCCCTCTGTCAGCTCCATCTCCCCATGCGGGGACATGAGAAAAGCCTCCCACAAGGATGGTAAAAGATTGYCTGGTTTRTCTACTCTGGAAAATGCAACATGTAATTGTCCATCTTTAGGAGTCCCTTCCAAATCTTTWCTTTATCTGTGTGTGTGTGAATCATATATATCTATCTATATCTATGGCTTGATGGCTCTCTGTCAGGAAGGCTTTGATTATGTTTTCTTGCCCTGGTGAAGGGAGTTGGACTGGATGGCCTTAAGTATTTTCTGTTGGTCATGGGGGTTCTGTGTAGGAAGGTTGCCCCAGTTCTGTCATTCGTGGGGTTCATTCAGAATGCTCTTTGATTGTAGGTGAACTATAAATCCCAGTAACTACAACTCTCAAATGCCAARGTCTACTTCCCCCAAACTCCATCTGTGTTCATATGGATTCTTGACAGATTAGAGAGATGACTGGCCAAAACTAACAAAATGAAGTTCAACGGGGACAAATGCAAGATACTCCACTTAGGCAGAAAAGGTTTGGTCCAGATCCATCATTGTTTGAGTCCACAGTGCTCTCTGGATGTAGGGGAACTACAACTCCCAAACTCAAGATTAAACGCTGCTAGTGTTTTCTGTTGGTCATGGGAGGCCTGTGTGCCAAGTTTGGTTCAATTCTATCGTTGCTGGAGTTCAGATTGTTCTTTGATTATAGGTGAACTATAAATCCCAGCAACTACAACTCCCAAATGAA